TTATAGTCGCCCACTTAGTAATTCAGTTGCTCTCCTAAAATTTTAATATTCATAATGCATCATTCATGATGTATTATGAATATTAAAATTTAAGTTAAGTTAAGTTAAGTTGCGAGTCGCAACACAGTTTTAGAAGCATATTTTGCATTTTATTATTGAACAATAATGGTTGTTAGTTTTATTAATTTTTCAGTAAGGTCATGCGGGGCAAGGGCGCCATATTTTTTGCATAGATGAATTCAATGCAAAATATTTTTCTTTTAAGCTGACTTATAAGTGTATATATTTTAAATTGTCATTCTTTGGTATGTTGTAGCTGCAAGAAAAGACGATTCAATGTAATCTATCAACATTTTTATGATATTTTATAAGAAATTGGAAAACATTTGTATAGGCGCACTTGCCTGGAAAGTGGGGCAAGTGCGCCGATATAAAAAAATAACACTAAAATCATAACTTACCAGAAAAACAGATAATATATTCAATAGAACATAAACAACTAAACGTATTACTCTGGGTTTCTTTTTAATTTATTCGTACTATAGGTTGCTGCAGCTTTCATAACAAATTTGGGGTAAGCGCGCCATAGACTTTTAATCAGGGGATCTAAACCTTTAATGCAGTTTTTTATATAAAGTAAATACTAAACTTTACAGAACAGCTACCGTAAAGTTCACAACCAGATAAGTCCATACTCATCTAGCGTGGACTTTACGGCAGCTGTACAACTGCATCTTTTTGTCGAAAGATCTGTGGGCAAGCTAGTGTCTGAGTTGTTCAGGCTCAGTCTGAAGGTGTCTGACATGACTTAATGACTGATGTTGAATAATAAAAGCCGGATCAATGATTTTCCGGCCACCCATCCAAAGAATCATCGCGAACTAGCTTGACCTCGATTATTGCTCCCGATTAATAAGCTTAGGTCTACCTAAGCGCGCATAAAGTAACGAACAAAGGAAATTACAAGTACTATGGATTAACTGTTAGCACTAACTTTAAACGACTTTTATACCGGGTGTTCAAACAAATGTCCTATTTAATGTCACTCTAGTAATTCACTCAAAGAGTTTTTGAAAATACCTATCCGTTAATAAGTTATGACTATTACTTTTAATATAATTAACAACTTATTCGTGTAACAATAGAAGATTTTAAACGAAAATCATGATTTTTAAATGTTATACTTTACACGACTCAGCTGCAAATTCATAAAATTATTAAAACACACGCACACAAATATCAGTGGTTTTTGATATTTTTAATGAAGGTGCGCTTACCCCGTCGGCGCGCTTGCCCCGCCTGACCTTATTATTTAAATTTAAATTCATAAGATTCAAGTTAGTAAAACAGTATCTTATCATTACGGACTAAATATTTTTTTATTTGCTTGTTTTATTATTCTCCTTTTACAAATATTCTAATTCCTGAAATGGAGATGGTTAAGATTTCTGATAATTTACCAGCTATTCTAACATTAGCAAGATGTTCATGACTCTGCACTAGGAGGAATTTCTTTGACTGTGTGAAACATGCCTAGTTTCTATGCATTCTGCATATTCAAAACAAATGAGTTGCTTGTTTCAATTTTTTGAAGATGGACCCAACAATTCAAAAAGACTGGTCATATCAAGTTTACAATTTAGATCAGATTGCTTTTTACAGGCCCAATTAAAAATTGCTGGTCTTAAGGAACTCTAAGTCTAAGTCTCCCTTCAAGGACAGAGTTAGACAATTCATCTAACAATAATTTTGAAACTGCAACATAATATATCTTACCAGAATTCTGTGAACTCGACCGATTACGACTCGACTTCCTTCGGCGATAAACAACACGCTAGGTGCAACAAGACAGGTGATATTCTTTGTCTCTTTCGTAGGTGCAACTGGCTCAACTGAAGAACAAGGACACCCGACGAATAGGGTATTGAATATTCGCTGTTTTTACATTGAACAGGATCCTGACATAAAACCGTTGGGTAAAGGTTTTTATAATACTTTTTGGACCCGAAAATAATAATATGTCTCTCAGGCAATAAAAATTGATTTATTTTATCGCCTTAATTTCGTTGTAAATAAATAACATTGAACTTGCCAATAGATTTTGCTTGAGGGACACTACAGAATCCTGAGAATTTGGCACTTTGAATATAAATTTCGAGAAGAAAACAATGTTTAATCTTTATTATTTTAAGTGACCAACTTGACATGTTATACAGTGTGTTATACAAATAAATTTATTTTGTAACAAAATTTTCATAACATTTTATTTGTAGAACTACCCATATGATGACCGTAACCAACGATTCAACTCCAAATTGCAAACATGTTAAGCCTTCAAATTGGGTAAAGTAATTGTTTTGCTTTTAAAATTTCAGCTAGATTTTCAGGGTCTGCCCCTGGTATGAGCTTGCAGGGCAAACTTACATAACTCAACAGTTTGAAACACACATTTATTTGTTTTTGTGTAGTCGCATAAAGCACGATGTAGACAACTCTTTACATTTCCAAAATTTCACGATTATTATTTCGCATACATGTCACGTGACGATATGGACGTGACGTTCACTACCTTCTGCAACAATATCTTATCCTTCTGATGCACTAATTGTTGATCCATTAGAATATTCATACAAACAATTAAACGGGTCAATTTCTTACGGGTCATGGTAACTTTAAGAGCAAGCTTTATTCATTTAAATTAGTCGAGTCGCCATTGTGTCAATGCTCAACACCTAACTCTCACTATGAACAGTCTGCTCATCATATCCTCTGGGCATGTAGTCTTTGGTATAATGAACGTAATATAATGCTGAATAGCTTGCAGGTGACATCTGGGGCGGTATACTATGGGGATCTTGTGTCAACTAGGGTGAATTTCCGAGCGTTTAGGCGATTCTGCCATACATATTATAGAAATCAAACATAGCTCACGTAGGACCCGTAATATTTGTGGCCGTGGTGCTTCCCTGTTTAAAAGTTTGTATGCCCATTTTACTTCATTTTGTCTCCCGCTTTGCTAAGGAGGGAAGTGGATTTACTGTATTTCCAACTCCTCCAATTTTCTTCTGATTAATTTCGTTGCGGGTTCCAAGACAGTTTAATTTCTTCCTGGGACTTCCCGAGTATCATAACTCGGTGTGTTCGTGGGTCACTGCTGTGGATCCTGGTGTACAGGAGTTACGGTGGTGGGCGTGTGGGTGGGATAAGTACCAAAAAAATATGTATATATATAATAATAAAATAAAATATATAATATAATAATAATATATAATAATAAAATAAAATAAATACTTACAGTTGAGAAGAAGTGCCGTAACTATTGTGGAATAATACTTTCGTTCACACCAAGTCGGCAACCTGTATTCACGCTTTTCGACAACAAATAAATGAATATTTGTCATGATGGCAGCTTTTTGTAGGCATCAAAATTAGATTAAGCTTTTATAGTTTTTAATGATTTTCCACCATATGCGATTTTCGTGGACAGGTTTTAATCAATGATATTTTAGTAGTTTTGTTAGAAAATATGCTAAACAATGCTACTTTCAAATAAAACACATTAAGACACATCCGCATAACCCTTTACTTTTATCAAATATTTATGATTTAGATAAGCTTTAACCAGTCAAAGTTGCCTGAGACAGCATAGGTCATAGCAAATTTACTTGGTTTGTAATATTAAAATCAAAATTTGTTTGAAAAAGTTTTTTTTCACACAACAAAACAACTGTATTAAAAGTGTGAGAAATAGTGGTAATGCTTTTTTTAAAGTTGGTGGACCATTTTACCCGTGTGCAACATTTCGCAAAAATATCGCAATAACAACAATTAGTTATTTTAAGTTAATTCATCTTCTACCGGATTCTTTAGTATCGATTTGTTTTAGTATTGGAATTTCAAATTTGTTGCAATATTTTCCTTCCAATCTCAATCCACAGCGTATTCTCAACATAGCAGATAAAAGATTTAACTTAATTTTATTACTTGATTGTTTTTTATTACATTTATACTGCTAAATAAACAAAATCGGCATTGAAATGAGGCTGTGTTAAGAGAGTAATAGCAAAAGTTCCTAACTCCTCAAACCTCGAATTCCTTTGGGCATATTTGAAGTGCAATACTGACAGTGAAAGACCCTTAACATTGGTACAACAACGGACCGAGTTTTGAATGATATCAATCTTCATTTCTTTTCTGGTACTCAACTGGATCTCCAAATCAAACCAAGAGTTGGACATCAAAAAGATCATCGTGCCTCTCCGTTCTAATGGAATAGGTTGTGACTTGTGATGACTTTACACTGTATAGGTTGTTTTGTGATGTTGGTTTGATCGTTTTGACAGATTGCAGCATACGGGAGCAATGGACTTAAGAAATATCGATATCATTTCTTTTTATTTAGAAATCAATTACAATTTTATTGGTGTGTTACTGTAATATCTCGTATTTTATTATATCTTAGGTTTTTAAATCTATTCTTTTAGTTATCTAGGAAAATGAACACACTTAAGGAAATAAATAACACAAGGTTTAGTTTCAGGAACATAAGTGGCGACGATGTGAATAATAACTTGTAAAATAGGTCAAAAATACACTTTGCACTTAATTTTATGGTAGTAAACACAAACATGCGACAAAAACAGTTGCAAGCAATTTTCGCCCTTAGTGGCTTATCTCTAAAAACGTGTTTATTGCCATTTATAAATAAATGATGCTGATCATGGATATAAAAAATAATTTGGACATTGTTGTAGCTATGACCCTTATAATAGGACCTATAATTGATTGATTGATCACTACTAGCGAGCCAGCGCGAGCGGACGTGTTTACCACTCTTATTCTTAAAATCTTTCAATATTAATATAGTTAACAACTTAAAGACAATCTTAACTTCCTGTGATTGAGATCCTTTTTAACTGTGCACTTTTTTCGATGCGATTCCAAACCTAGTTGTGTTATACGTGTGCGACCACAGAGTTCAGAACGAATAGACAGGTACGATGTCACAGAAATCCATTAAACATTCCGGATCGACTCCAGACCTTTCATTGGAAACTGTTTCGCGCCGCAAACGGGGTCATAACGATGAATTCACAGAAGCATTCGAACAATTTAAGAAGCAAATTATGGATACATTACTCGAATTCAAGTCGGATATTAGTCGAGAAACTGCGGAGATTAAGGATTCCTTGAAAACCATCAATGAGGTCACTCAAGAACTAAAATGTGAGGTAAACTACATCCGAGAAGAATACTCAGCAATGAAGAAGTCGTTTGACATTTTGGATACTGCTGAGAAAAAGGTGCAAGAGGAGATAACTACTTTTAAAAAATCACTGAAATTCCATAGCGATAACCAAGACGATATTATAAAAAAGGGGGTTAACAGTATCAGCCATTTCCAAACCGAAAATCAGAATAAAATACTAAATTCCAATATAAATGAACGCGAGCAAAGGGATAGATTGTTGAACGTAGAAATTGTTGGAGTGCCGGAAATGCCACAAGAAAACCTAATGCAATTTACTGAAAACCTTGCGAATCATGCCGGTGTTGTAATAATCCGTGAGAATATATTACATGTAAATAGTGGCTTCTAAGACCAAAAACCAAGGTAGACCCAAAAATATAATCATTAAGTTAAGTACACGTCAACTCAGAGACAATCTAATCTCGAAGGCGCGTAAATGCCGTTTGACTACTTCAGACCTACAGATTCATGGCAAAGTTACCCCTATATTCGTGAATGAACATCTCACCATCTACAACAAGAATCTTCTGAAGATAGCTAAAGAAATATCTCGGTCTAAGGAATATCAGTATACCTGGTCAAAAAACGGGCGAATTTATGTGAGAAAAGCTGTTACAGCACCTGCCATTCCAATTGCAGACGAGGAAGACCTAAGGAAAATTATTTAGAACTATACGAGGCTGTCATCATTTTGGTATTATTATTTCTTATTCACATTTCAAATTACTACTCTACAAAAGTATATTATGTTGCGATGCATTATTGTAATTGTGCACTAATATTTATCGTCACTGTCTACTCTATGCGTAGTAGGCTCTGTGTCATATTATTTTGCTCCAGCGTGGTCATGTATTCAACGCGACTTGTTAACGAGTACGAGTAGAGAACTTGCACATTTTATTGTGCTGTATCTAATGAGCCTAAGCAATGATGTAGCCAATCAATTATTCTTTGAGACGGCGATGTTATATACATACTTCAATGACGTAGTAAATTTATTCTACGATTATTCATGTCAACAAACTAAACAAAGTATATGTTTTAACGATTTGTTCTTTAGTATGAAGGATGTCACTATGGAGCGAAAGAAGATGACACAACCATATATACTAGCCCAAACATTGTTAAAGAAGTTTGAGACGGGGTGCATGGAAAAAATCAATGAGCGAGGTAAAGTTGCAACCGTACGGAGTGTATATAGTTTAACTTATGTTATCAACCTGCACCGCTGTACTACAGGCGTACGTTTTGTCTTTTACCCATTTTTTTTGATTATGACTGCAATCACATACATTTACTTCATAATTTATAACTTATTGATCGTTTATGACTCATTATTTCATACATACTATTTAAAGTATGTTAAACGTAAACGAGCTTAACTTAATATATTTTAAGGTGTTGTTATTGTACGTTTTTGCAGTGAAACTTTGGTGCATTTTTATTCGCAGTGATGATTGCATCTGATTTAAAAATTTATTACCAGAACTGCCGTGGGCTAAGAACTAAGACATCACAATTCTATCAAAATATCTTGTGTAATGACTATGACATCGTTATTATAACTGAAACATGGCTACATAGTGGCATATTCGACAGAGAACTTTGTGACGACAGGTATGACGTATTCCGTAATGACCGCGATTTATCGGTTAGCGGTAAGACAAAGGGTGGAGGTGTTATGATTCTGGCTAAGCACACACTCGGGTCATGGTGCATCGATCACGACGCTATATCCACTACTGAAATCGTAACCATTGTAATACCGGCCCGTACGCTGTCTGCTGCTTTAGACCTTTACGTTAGTGTTGTGTATATACCACCAGACGTGCACCGTATACCTACAGATATTAAGTGTGTTCTTAGATGCGTGACAAACATACTTACTGGCGTAACTCAAAGCTGTAATTACATGCTTGCGGGAGATTTTAACATCCCTTGCATCGAGTGGCAACACAGTACGCCTATATTTAAAAAAACAGGGTGCTGTAGAGGTCCAACTCGCTAGTTGAAACATTGTACCTTCACGGCTTGACACAATACAACACTCTCCATAACTATAAAGGGAACACATTAGATCTTGTATTCTGTAACTTGCCCCTTGAGCTCAATGAGTGTTTATCCCCCATATCAAAACCTGATGCGGCTCATCCTGTATTTAACATCGAAGTTTTTAAGCTATTGCATAGCTTCTATCGAGGGCCTTGAGCGCGGGGACCGAATCCAGAAATTCCGTAACGAAAAAAAACTTCACGCTAAAAACAAAACAAAAAACAGTACCAAAATCAAATGCTGAACGTCAAAGGAAATTTCGTCAACATAATGCAGAAAAATCTTACATGGATATGTAATTTGATTTAATAATAATATTTTTTATATATTTATTTAAAAACAAATTGTAATATATGCTTCAATATTTTTATTTAATAAAAGAAAAAAAAATGTTTTCTTATCGGTCACCACGCTCAAAAAGTGTAACTTGAATTAATATCAAAGAAAAAGAAATAATAATTATAATTGCATAAGTTGATACAAAATGCTATGCAATAGCTTTACCGCGGCAGTCCCCGAGTGCCACACGTCTTTTTTGATTTATCAGTTTCCCTGTTTAAAGAGTTGCCCTCCCCCAAATTTAATTACCGTAAAGCTGATTTCTTAGCATTAAATAGTTACCATAGCGATATTGATTGGCAGCCACTGTTAAACGTTGTACCTGTTAATGAAGCTGTTGACACCTTTTATAAGGTGTTACTTATTGGTATTGACAAATATGTACCACGGTGTTGTAGACATGGCAAACGCAATTATCCCATCTGGTATAGTAATTCACTTATAAAAATTATAAAACAAAAGACTAAGGCACATTCGCGTTGGAAAAAATATGGAAACCTTTTGGACTACGATGAGTTTGCAATGTTGCGTTCTAGGCAAAGTAATGTACAAAAAGAGTGTTTTGATAAGTACATACAAACGACCGAAAACACTCTGAAATCAGAGCCTAAGAGGTTCTGGACTTATATAAAACATATGCGCGGTGGTTCTAATTATCCTAAAATGTTAACTAATAATAACGAAATCTATTCTAACGGACAGGATATTTGTGAAGCTTTCAACAATTTCTTCTATAGTGTATTTGGAGTACAGTCTTGTCCAGATGATTTTGAGAACGGGTCTAATACTGACGAGAACTGTCCTGATATCATATGTAAATTGAGAGTAGATCCCGTTATTGTGGAGAAAGCATTGAGAACTCTAAATACTGACAAGGGACCTGGATGTGATGGCATCCCCCCAATATTCTGGAAAAACTGTGCCAAAAACTTGGCGGACCCTATTTCAATTATCGATAATCGCTCGTTGGAAGCAGGAGTCTTTCCAGATATATAGAAAAAAGCGCATGTTGTTCCTATACATAAGAAGGGGTCTTCGGTTAAGATAGAAAATTACAGAGGTATTTCAATACTTAACACGGTAGGTAGTGTTCGAAAAACTCATATATAATGCTATATATCCCTAAATACTCGCTGGGATGCCGATGGTTTGGGACTGTAGAACGTCTTTTTAAAAATCCGTGCTGTGAGAGCACGGATTTTTAAAAAGACGTTCTACAGTCTCAAACCTAGCCTGTTTTTCGAATTATCTCTTTAAGAATGTGGATAATGGGGGGCAGGTAGACGTAGTATACACGGATTTCGAAAAGGCGTTTGACCAGGTGGATCACATCATTTTGCTTAACAAGTTATTCAGACTCGGTATACGTGGTGATCTGTTGAGGTGGGTTCAATCTTACCTAGCCAAAAGGTCTCAAGCAGTAGTGGGTACCGTTCCTACTTTTGTGAAATCCCCAGCGGTGTGCCACAGGGTTCGCATTTAGGACCGCTGTTATATAACGCATATTTATATGACATCCCTGATGCCATCAACAACTCTGAATATTTAATGTATGCTGATGATAAAAAAATATTTATTAAGGGTCTTAATGATTGTGTGGCACTCCAATCTGACCTAAACCATTTATACAATTATTACAACAAGAATAAAATTTCCGTGAACATTAATAAATGTCAATGTATCACTTACGTAAAAAGCAACCCATAAACTATTTATACAACTTTAATGGCGCTCAAATAAAAAGGGTTTCTGCTGTATGTAATCTCGGAGTTACGTTCGACAGTACACTATCGTTCTCTGAGCACATTGACACGGTTTGCTCTAAAGCATACAAAAACCTTGGGTTTGTCCTACGATCTTGTAAAACTTTTAAAACAGCTGATTCCCTAAAGTTTGTTTATTCTGCTTATGTACGTAGTACACTGGAGTATGGTTGTCCTATTTGGTCCCCTTTCTGTACAATTTATTTAAATCAATTAGAACGTACAAAAAAAACTTATAGATCACCTTAACTATCGTTTGCGTAAGCCAGCCATGACCTACCGTCAAAGTTGTAAGGCCCACGGCTTGTTGACAGACGTATAATCCTGGACATGTGTTTGTTGTATGATACTATAAATGGCCACATTGATAGTGCCAAATTGGTCTCGAAAATAGTATTTAACACTCCGTTACGTCGCACCCGACATACACCCATGCTTCATGCACCCCGATACGCAACTAATTATGCAAGAAACAGTGTATTTACGCGTATTTCGCGTACTTATAATAATTTTTTCAACGAGATTGATCTCTTCTCGTGTTCAAAACGACTATTCAAATCCAAAATTTCTAACGTTTTGAGTGGACAGTGTAAATAATGTACAATAATTTTATGTGGAATCACATTTTGGACTTATGTACTTATTGAATATTATGCTATGTCAACTTTTTATGTTTTCATTCGCATGCTGGATATATAGTTTTTTAGTTAACTAGGAAAAACTGTTATTAGCCAAACTATCTGTGTATGTTATTAAGTTATAAAATAATTGTATCGTTGTTGTTTTTCAATAAATAAATAAATAAAGTTGGAGATTTTTAATACCAGCATTTTCAGATTTAATAAAATAAATAATGAAATAATATTTTATTTGAAAGCCATGTTATTTAAATTTAAAATTCAGTCATTTGTTTTATACATATATCAACCTACACTATAGGATAGACGAGGAAAAGACATCACCAATTTACGCATAGAGGATTTTATTTCAAGATTTCATATTATCCCCAATTAGAGCATTCTAGTCCTTACAGTTAATTAACTAAACCGCGGACTGACCGACGAAGATGGTGAAATTATAAGCGTTCTATGTTTTGATTTTGATTACGGCACTCGTACTTCAGTAGCTTGATCTTTACTAACTCATGAAACACTTATATTAAACAGAATAAATGAAAAAGTGTTTAATCAATTTTGTAAGCCTCTGATGTTGCGATTATTTTGTCCTCTAGACAGTTATTAACAAAATATGTTGATGTTTCGTAAATTTGAATATGTTTTGTACTTTTTGAGTGTGTGTTCCAACACGCTGTCGTAGTTCTTTGCGTGTGTGTCCATGCTAACGCAAGCTTAAAAGCTTTTTCGCTAAGTCACAGGAACGATGTTAAAAGGCACGCCGCATTCCTCTTTACGATACTACTACTTCTTGCATTTCCTTTTGTGGTTGCTTACATCTAGTTCCTGAAATAAGTAAACGTAGCATTAATATTACATTATTGTCAGTATGTCTAGTGTATTGCGAGAAGTCTGTGTGTCAGAAGCAGAAGGATATGTTGTAAATAGTTAAAGTTGTTCTAAAGTTTTTTTTTGTTAACGTTATGGAAGATCCTCATGGATGTCCTTCGCCCAGTGGGTGATGGCAAAGGGGTCTGCCGGACTCTTACCGACTAAAAACCACCTCAGTGTTCCTCTCCTTGCCAATGGTCATGGGAGCGTGAATCGCAATTACATTCTTCCGCCACCTCTGACAGGCATTGACCCGTCTCGTCACCCTACGGTCGCAGTCCTCTAGAAGGGTACACGGAACACTATGCGCTGCCTCTCGGGTCTGTATCTGTTCGGACGACGAATTCCCCAAAATCTTCTTAAGGTGGCCGGCAATCGATGAATGCCCTCTGGCACCCGATGTGCCTTCTGCGGGTAGAGGCAGAACTGACTGCCGCGTTAAGAACATGACGCTGGCTGGCCCAAGCTGATCATTCCGCCAGCGTGTGAAGCGACGTGTCGTCAGCGCAGTCAACACAATGTTGGCACCGTGACGTCGGCTCCCCGCCGAAATCCGGAAGGTGAGGTCTTACCGCCGCTATTGCGGCGTGCCCTGCATTGGGCCGCGCAAGCCGTTGATCCCACTCCGCCACCAAGATCTGGCGGAGCTCTGCCCGGTATGCCTCTACTTCTCGAGGCACTGGTAGCTTGTCCTGATCTAGAGTATCCCTGCGCCACCGATACTGTATCGCAAGGAGTACTGCATCCACATCCCAGAGTGCGGATCTGGCAAATAGGCTACCGCTTCGAAGGAGATCGTACGCTACCCTTTTATTACTCTGATGGCCATCACACACATGATGGCCGTCAAAACACAACACAAAACACAATGGGGCGGTATGCTGACCGTGATTCTGCGGGACGCCCTTCTTTCCTTAACAAAACCAGTTTTTCTGTCTTCCAACGGCTTGGAAACTGGCGCTGTTCCAAGCATGCGCTGTAGAGCCCTACCAGCCGGGGCCAAAGAAACGTCAAGGCTTGGACCCATGCATGGCGGGAATGCCATCGGGCCCCGGTACGGTGTGTTTGGTTTTAAGTCGTAAAACCACCACTCGGAGTTCCACCCGGGTCACTTCGGGCACGTCTTCATCACCTTGGCCGTCGCTAGGGTAGCGGAAGCCATAGGCGGGGGAGTATGTTGCCCCCGCGAGGGGAACAAAGAGCACACTACCTCCTCCACCAGCTGGGCCTGAGACTTTGGGTCAGTGGGGGCGCGTATGGGCGCATTGTCCGAACTTAGTATCGATATTCTGTATTAACTATAATTAAGTGGTCAGAGGCCGTTCTGATTAATTACGAGTAAATTAAATAGGTGGGTCATGCTCAGAAAAATTGTACAATTGGCACTTTTTTTTTGTCCCACTACTTTAATAGCAGATTTAAAATTTGAATATTATGGCACATATTTTTAATCATGTTTACATCTATGACTAGTCTTTAATAGGATCTTTTTTATATAAATAATATAATATTTTCGTCAAATCATAGAATAAATAGCATTGGGATTTTTTTATAAAATATCTTCCATACAATTTTTTAATGTCCCAATAACGATTTTTCTTAATAAAAGAGTAATTGTTACGACTATTAGTCGACTTACACAAGATTGACTGTAGTCATTTAGGTCTCTTTTAGTCCATTCATCAGTCAGTCATTTAAATGGTAATACGATTTATTCTTTAGAACGTTTAATAAAATTATTAAAATTTATATTAATGTTGTCCCAAAATTATTACATTTCGTTACTCAGTGTTAGTTACGTGCGTATAATTCTGAACGCAGTTGTTCGAAACTGACGGGAAATAATTTTCCTAATATTGACAAAATTGCTGCTTTTTATAATTCACCATACATACAGAGGTCATTTTGTTTTCATCTGTACACGGGAGTCATTGTTTTGAATTCGCATTTGGAAAAAAATACTGTCAGGGTGATAAACGTCGTCTACTCGTCTGTAGATGACCCGAGGTATGTCGGGGCACAAGGGACTTCCTTTCTAGGGTATACCTGGTTCCCCGGCTATTAGTCGGTTCGAGTCCGACATGCCACCGACAGGTGCTATCCGAGGGGATTTCCGCACGGAAAAAAAAAAAAAAAAAGGGGAACAGAAGTGTAATCGTGGTACAATGAAAATGACGGGCTTGATTCCCGAACGTAACAATATATTTCTGTTGACTAAAAAAAAATATGATTGACTTATTATTTTACTATTTGTGTGGGTACTTGTGCAGAGTAGTCAAGTATTCGATTCCCGCTCAAGTCAAACATTTGTGTGCATGAACATTTGATGTTTGATTTGGTCTGGGTGTTTCTATGTATAATATGTATGTTATTACAAAAAAAAAGTATATATGTATTTATATCAGTTGTCTAGTACCCATAGTACAAGCTCTGCTTAGTTTGGGACTAGATGGCGTTGTGTGTATGTGTTAGAATATTTTATTATATTATTATTATATTATTATTATTTAGGATATTTTTTATTAATTTAATTTAACGAGAAAACTGTAATTTCATTTAATTTGTAACTACTACTAAACCTACAATAGCAAATTATACTCGTACATACTGATTCATACAATTGAGTTTTTTTCATTATTTTGTAGCTGGATGGTCCCCCATAATAATTGCAATCAAGCCTTTAGGCGTAATGAGTAATTTAAATTTATTAGCCAAAAAAATATAATATACTTAAAGAGTGCGTCCATTGGTACTTGTTTTATGGTTCCTACTCCAATGAAAATACACTTTGTACTTGTTCTTTAAGAGTAGCACTCACTGCACTACGTCACACTAACTTAACTAAACAACTAAAAAGGCTTAGGGTTCTTTAGTCTTAATGATATATTCGTATCGTTGGAATATTCACTTATTCCCGTCGGGTAGGATGAGCCTGATTTAGATTTCTGAGATATTATATTTTTATTTAGATTAATTATGCGTGTTCTGTTCAGTATGTACCCTGCTTTACAATATCAGTTTCGTCACATTGATTCTCCATTTCGTTACTTATCAGTTTATTAACAAATGGCAAATGTACATTTTTTCTGAGTATGACCCAGGTACAAAAAAATGCCAGATTGTTTGCTAAATTGCTGACTATCAATTTTTATTACTTTCTATATTACACCGTAATGTATGTAAAGTAATACTTCATTCTTTATTGATATGACGGTTTGTTTTTTTATTTCATACTCGTATAGGTTTTAGTTATGGTTACAACGCATATTCCTTGCAACCATACAAAAGTTATGGTCCATAACATTTCCTATTCTAATTTTTTAATTAATTCTATTTATTTTTTTGTAAAAAGGACAACTCCCGCATTAGGAAAATATCGTATGTCGCGGGTAGAGGATTCGATCCCGGGATCCCGGTCATATTTTAGTCCCGAAATTTTCGGGATCAAATTTAATGAATCCCGGGATTTTCGGGATTGATACATTTTTTACATAAGTCAATAAAAATGTGCGTTAAAAGAAACGCACTTGCCTTGATTTGATGTTTTGACAGCCATCTTGTCTACACAACTGATTTCATTTGTTTTTGCTAATGACCGGTTCTGGATTATGCGTAAAAGTGTGTAATTTATAAAGTTTCTGGGCAATTTAAATAAAAAAATATGAGTAGGTATCTATAAACATTGGTCTCTTAAGCATATAGTTTTTTTTTATAGTTTATCTAAATAAGTCTAATGAAGTTGATGTTTTGAAGTTTATTGTTAGTTTCATAAATTATTTACTGCAACACAAAAGAAACTAGTCACTAGTTTGTTTATTTTATAAGAAGAAAGTATAATTTCGGTTAACCGCCTTTTTGGAGATTTATAACTTAAATATTCTATGTCCTCACAAAACTAAATGATAAACAAAAAAATATTTTGATCTGTTTTACTGTCTTTTTGTTACCACTTTCCATTGCCAACACAATCCCGGGACTATCCCGGGAGCCCGAGATTAACTGTAGATAATCCCGAAATCCCGGGATTATAAAAATCGACCGGGATCGAATCCTCTAGTCGCGGGGGACTTTACAAGCATACATAAAAAGGACAATAAGAACACCTAGACTCAGAACAACAATTTGTGTATAACACAAAGTGTCGACCCATGGTGGGATCGGACCCACAACATTTAGCGTAGTAGTGAGCGGCGTGGCGACCGCTTAAACCACTACGTGAGTCAGTCAAAAATTAAATTGAAACATTCACTTGAGAAAAACTTAAATAAAATTAAAAAAAACAAAAACAAAATAAATCAACTAAACAAAATTATTACCTGACACAGAGTACTGCAGTACGAGTAGTCATTGCATTTTTGACATCTCGTGTTAGTATTTTTGCCACATACACAACAACGACCAATCGCTGAATATGTCATCCGACTATGAGGATTCAACGATGTGACATTTGTTATTATAGGTGTAGCTAAATTTTCGTCGCATTGTCTGTAGTACTGTAATCAAATATTTATTTTATATTCCTAGATGCATTTATTCAAATGTACAAATGAGACAGATATTTTGGCTTTACTCCAACTACTTACCATTTGTCCTGATTCAGCGTTATTACATACTGATGATGTAAATGAGTTACTATTTAGTTGTGTCTGGTAATTATGTGTGCCAGGTGAAATATTCTGGAAGTTCGGTACACTGACATTTGAGGTAGTATAATGATGGTGATTAGGATAATATGGCTGTGGTTGTGTTCGAACGGTATTGTGATAAAAGGTATTCATTTGATGATAATCATTGCGTTGTACTTGATTAACGCGTTGATTGTAATGTGTTTGTCTTGGATTAAGTAGAGAGTTTGTTGAATTACTCTTAATATTTAATTGTGTGTCTTTTAAGCCCTGGTAATTAATCTGATTCTGTAAAAGATTAGGGTTTATATTTATACTTATTTCTCTTTCTCTATCTCCGGCCGAAAAAATACATATACTATTTTCTGGGGTCATATCTCTGCCAATAATATCAGAAACAAGGATAGGTGCAGTTAGACTTGCTGAGATTTCTAATTGTTCAGAAATATTTGTTGTATTTGGCTGGCTAAATGCTGGTGGTGAATCAGCTAGTAGCGCTTTTAATGTTTTATTTTCATTTTTCCTTTTCTCACAATTCTTTTCTTTACTAGCAAACTTTAATCCGAATGTTTTTATATATTCTCTTTTCTTTTTTACCCATTCAATCATTTCGTTGTAAAATGGTTCCACATGTTTTCTTTCACATTTACCTTGCAATACTTTACTGGCATCTGCTACCGTTTTATTCAAAAAATTCTCAACAAATTTTTTATTGTTTTCTTCTGGCAATATTAAAGACACTACTGTACTGTATGATAAATCAAAGAAATGTGCCTTACATTTATCGAATTGCTTTGATAAATTAGCGGCCGTTGGTGGATCTTTTTTACAATTATCGTAATAGTAATTATAGTAAAGTCTCATAACCAATATCAAATTTTCTGATACTATGTCCAACAATGTTTTAATGTTTCTGTCTGTTGTTTCTTTATTATTATCGCTTTGACATTTTTCATACATACTGTTTTTCATGTTTTCTGTTGTCTTGGAACTGCAGTTTTTTTGTATTAAAAGGCTTTGATTAACTTTAAGAGTTTTGCTTGTATAACTGTCTTCATGGATAGGACTCGAATTTTCAGGCAGTTTATTGTCCATATTCTGAAGTGAGACCTGTTTTGCCCTTGTATAATTTTTATGCAAATTTTCAATTGATGTTTGCACTTTAGTATTGCTAGTTGGTTTTTCAGTCTTATCTTGTTTAATAGCATCATTTTCTTTTATTTCTCTTAAAACGTTTTGAAACAGGGCTTCATCCTCGCACTCTTCAAACATCATAGTTACGTTAATTGGTGAGTTAAAATCATATTGTTTCATTTGACTGAGAATGTTAACTGAAATAATAAAAAAATGAGTTATGTACATAGCCTTACGGTGGTTTTATTATTGAACAACGTAGATGAGTAAGTAGATGACAGGGCAATCGCGGATTGATTTTCAGTTTCTACTAATTAGAAGTTTCTCATTATTATGTGTTTCATTTAAACTCCTTCTAGAGTAAAAAGTTACGTAAGTTAGTTACAGTAGTACGTAATTGAATTGTTTAAATAGATTAAAGACAGTAAAATGACACCAAATATTGCTTACAAGTATAATTGTCCTTTTATTTCCAAAACTTACCATTTTCCATTTCTTCTTTTTAATCTTTTTTAATCGGGTTCCGTTATCATTACCGGCTTGCGTGCCTGTAAAAGTTAAAAATTATTTATTTGGTTTATTTTGCTTTTGACATGGAATGGACAGTTAAATGACTGACTGAAGGTGATTTAAAACATTGATATATTTTAATGATTTACATAAAATATTTTAATGCCAAAATAGCCATTGACAACAGAATAAATGGTGGTTAAAGAAAGGTAGGTAAACAATACAAATATTGAATCAGATAAAAAAGTAACTATGATGACCAATAAAGAGTAAACAATTCTCAGTAATTTAACATTTAGCACTTTTATTGTATACAATCACCATGTATCTTGTTAACTAATTGCCTAAATATCTCTCTTCTTCTTCCTCCGAACCTTTACCCAAACTAGGTTGGGTCGGCTTTTAAGACTATTACGATATGGCTGAAGTTCGCTTTTTTAAGTTTTAGTAATGTGGAGTAGTATGTGTACTTACGGGTGAATATAAATAAAAGTCAATATCCACTTACTGTTATAATTTATACACACAACAACACGATATACTATTTAAAAGACAGAAGGAGTACAAGCAAGAGACACACAATATACACAACGCGACACAGAATATACTGTCTATTCACAACACTTTACTCTATATAAATTTACTTAATTAAATAAGATGGAATGTCAACAATAACCGAGAACGCGCAGGCTGTAAGGGGGCCATGGACCAACTAACTTAACGTACTTACTATACGATCGTTCTGGAGCTACCCAAATCACTGAACACTATAATGTAAAAAAATCATAAGTGCCGTGAATGTCTTGAGTAGTGTTAAGAAGTAATAAATAACTATTTCCAAACCTTAAGTGTTCAGATAACTGTGATAAATGACTGTAAAGTTCGTCGTGGGTTCGATTCCCACTTAGGACGAATACGAGTGTTGTGTGAAATTATTTTTATGATAGTGTAATTGCGTTTATGCTTATGTTGTTTTGTGTGTCTATAATAAATGTTACGTGGTAGGTGTGAGCCCTACAAAGTGGTGCGACTGGCATGAGACCACCACAACCTAAAGTACTAGGCGAACTCGTAGTTCTGTAGCAATACTGCTGTCGGACTTTTTAAGGCTCCAACTACCCGTGACGATTGCCATAGGTGAACATCTATGGCATTTGTCACGGGTAGTTAGATAGACTATACACGGGTACGGGTATACACGGGACACGGGTAGATTGCCATAGATGTTCGTATTGGCTCTCTGAGGCAATATTTATGTGTTAACCCACTAATAGGCTGCCCTGGCTAGGATCGCTATTTGATCTCTTCTTTCTAATTTTGATTGTTCGCCATTCGTTCTAATTTTACTATTTACAAATCTGACACCCATTATCAAATCATAAAATATGATAATTTGTTATCAAAGTTACTATTTCAGATCAATTCTGTAAAGTAATTTGTTAAATAAAATTATTAAAAAAAAAAAGTTTCGATTGCGCCATATTTGCTTCCGAAATAATAACTTTTCGTCAAAAGCTGAGTTGGGATCTGTGAGTAGGGTCTTGTAGTGATTTCCTACAAGCTGAAATTGACAATCCACCTGCTTCGGCTAGATTGATGAACCCTTTTGTTCTGAACATGGTTCCTTCTTCAGAACGAGCTCTATTTATGAACACGTTAAGCGCGGGTTCTTAGACAGTGGTATGACGTGCTATCGGTGTTTCATCGAAAACTTTCGTATTTACATTTTCTATTACTTTGATTCCTCATAATTATACCCGATGGAAATAATCTGTGATATTAGCCATTAGTTAACATAAAATTACATTCAAATTATAAGTTTAAGTAAGGTAGTGCTTTTGTTTGCAAACATTTTTGAATTGAAAATGTTTAAGTTCTGACCACTTTAGAAATTGTTTGGTATAAACGTCCTAGGAGTAGGGGACTATTATTACATTTAATGCGACAAGAAGCGCAATTTGCTGTTGTGTGATGTTTGTTAACTGGAATGCGGCGTCATACAATCGGATGTTTATATATACGCCCTAGGCTTTGTAGGTACTATGAAAGCTAGATTGATGAATGAATACTTTTTTTTTGTAAATCCTTATTTATTATATATAGAAAACACACATATTTGCAGATAGTACAAACATTTTGTTTAACCCGGAAATCGAACCCGAGACGTATACGCTTGTCCATGAATTGAATCGGTGATAGCCTGGTGGTTAAGGCATTGGACCTGCGATCAAGAGGTAGTGGGTTCGAATCCTGACCAGTAAAGTACCGACGTGAACCCTTTTTTTTTTCTTTTTTTTTTTTTTTTTTTTTTTTTTTTTAACGTGTGGAAATCCCCTTGGACCGTCACCCCACCGGGGTTTGCGGCGGGGTGGTGTGTCGGACTCGAACCGACTAAAACCACACGGTGTGCCCTCTTTGCGCTTCCAGTTTAGGAGGGGTCCAGGTAGTTATCGCCTTCTGGACCCGTCCCAGCGCCGGCCCGCTCCTGGTGCGGGCTCCGTCTCCACTTATCCTCTCTTTAGGCGACGTCCGGCACACGCGGACGCCGCCCCCTCGCGGCTGGCCAACTAATGCGGGTGGAGGGGAAACCCACCCCGACCACCCGCGGCCACACTCAGGGCGGCATGAGGTCCCAGTCTAACACAAACAATTTAGCTTAGCGGGCGGGGTTACTAGTAATTGCGGTTGCTAGTAAGCAAAAAAAAAATGCTCCTACCAAAAATCACTCAACGCAAATAGAAAGAATTCACGTTGAATTTAGAGGCCAACAGTTGGAAGCTATTTTTCATCTGCTTTCACAGCTTTGACTCTTCATCTAGAGTGTAGACATATAAATAATCTAAGGTACCCACTTATATTATCTTATTGTGCTATCTAGAATAGAGTTATAATTTGTACGCATAAGAACCGTTATTGCCATGGCCTTTATATTAATATGTTTTCTGATTTGATTCTGATATAAATAGACTATTACACCTTGTTGAACTACTGACATATAATACGTATATATATATATATATATATATTTTTTTTTTATTATTTTTTTAGGGATAACAACAGCTGCAATTCTTAACTATGTAGTAAACTGAGTAGCATGAGTAGCCAATAAAAGTTATCCACGGTAGATACAAAGAGTGGATGAATATGCTAACAACAATACATAATATTAAAACTGATTGGTAAACCTTGAAAAGATGGGTGAATAGATGTAAAATATGAAATATAATAAATAACTGAAATAAATAACACATACTAATATATATAAATATGGGAGAAAAATTTAATTGAATAAATACATTAAAAGATTTATATCATCTAGAAACCTATAAAACCAGCCATTCAGTGCAATGATGTTGACATTTTAGAAAGTCTATGATGATAGTAATTTAAGCGAAACTCGTTTTTTGAAATTATCCTTAGAACCGATGAATATGTCCACACTATTAAAGTGTTCATTATAAGAGTCGAGTAAACGTGATATTACACCATTTCTACCGTAATTAGTCGAGTGAAATGAAGTGCAAAATAGTGTAGTGTGTCTAGTGCGTTTCTTGGGTACATTAAACTTAATATTATTTAAAAGCATAGGACAATCGATCCGTCCTCGCAAAATGTCATAGAGTAACCCCATATCCATCAGAATACGCCTTTCCTCGAGAGTTAGTAGATTGTAAATACGACAATTTTCTCTGTAATCATGAAAGCTGTGACGAAATTTAAAATTAAGGTGATCTATAAACTTTTTCTGGATGCGCTCCAGACTGCCTTTGTGTATCGCATAACAGGGAGACCATATCTGACAACCGTATTCCAGTAAACTACGAACAAAAGCAATATAAACAACACTTAAGCTCAACAAACTCTTGAAAGGTAGGCAAGATCTTAGGACAAAACCGAGATTGCGAAATGATCTGCTGCATATAGCATCAATGTGCTGCCGCATGGACATCTCCGAGTCCAAGAGTATACCCAGGTCTCGCACAACCTTGACCCTCTCGATTGCAACGCCTTTAAAACTGTATTGGTAAATGATAGGATATCTTTTACGGGTAAAGGATATACTTTGTCATTTTTTGATGCTAACCGTGATATTATTTTTAGCGTAGTACCTGAATAAAGAGTCAAGATCCTCTTGAAGCAAGACACAGTCAGATAAGGAGTTGATGGATGTGTAAATCTTTTTGTCATCAGCGTAGAGTATGTAATGTGAGTGCTTGATGTGGTAAATTATGTCAAAAATATAGGCGTTATAGAAGAGAGGGCCAAGGTGCGATCCCTGGGGAACGCCAGAGGGAATAGATACAAAGTCAGACTTAAACCCACCCAATACAACAGCCTGAGAGCGATTAGTTAGATACGATTCAACCCACCTAAGTAGGTCACCGTGAATACCTAACGCGTACAGCTTACGTAACAGGATGCCGTGGTCTACACGGTCGAAGGCCTTTTCAAAATCTGTGAAGACCACGTCAACCTGGCCACCATTTTCCATTTCGCCTACCACATAATCTGTGAAACAAGCCAAATTTGAAACCGTGGAACGTCTTTGCATGAATCCGTATACGAATCCGAAATTCTGGAATGCCAAGACTAACAACTGGGTAAATATTATTAAAAATTATTTTTTCAAAAACCTTGGCTACACAGTTTAAAATGGAGATAGGGCGATAATTATCTATTTGAGATTTGGAACCTTTCTTGTAAATAGGTATGACGTGCGCTTTTTTCCAAAGAGAGGGAAACATACAAGTTCTTAGTGAGTGTTGGAACAGTAGAGCAATAGGGTGCGATAAACTCTCAGCGCACGCTGACCAAAAGACAGGAGGAATTCCGTCGCAACCAGCACCCTTATTTCTATCCAAACGTGAGAGGTGGTTAAATACCGTTTCTTTAGAGACAGTTATGTTAGAAATAGTGTCGCAGGCCTGGTAATTGAACAGTGGAGAATGAGTGTCAGACTGCGACGAGGACCGACCCCTAGTA